GGGGTTGAGGAGACTACAATTTTCTTGAAGGGAAGAAAGTTTGACACTTCCTCACAAGGGACACGTGAGAAAATGTGACTTGCAGTCTGCTGGGTTGGGAAGAGGACTTAGTTGAGCAAAGAACTTCCTTTCTGGAAGGAGACAGCGTACCAATAACAAGCGGGATATCGGAGAGAGGTAGTGAGTGGGTCCTCGTGGGACTAGTTCTCAAGGCTCGGACTAGTCCCATCTTTGTTATAAATATATGCCAGATCTGGTCTGGGAAACGCGGCTACTGGACTTCAAACAAGACAAATGCAAGGTTATGATGTGGTGGAGGTAGAGACATGATCACTACCTACAAAATTCTCAAGGGTATTGACAGGTAGACAAGGATAAACTGTTCAACACTGGTGGTACGTGAGCAAAGGGACACAGGTGGAAACTGAGTACCCAAATGAGCCACAAGGACGTTGGAAAGAACTTCTTCAGTGTCAGAGTAGTTAACAGGTGGAATGCATTAGGCAGTGATGTGGTGGAGGCTGACTCCATACACAGTTTCAAATGTAGATATGATAGAGCCCAGTAGGCTCAGGAATCAGTACACCAGTTGATTAACCGTTGAGAGGCGGGACCAAAGAGCCAAAACTCAACCCCCGCAAGCACAAATAGGTGGACACACACACACACACACACACACACACACACACACACACACACACACACACACCCAAACCCCCACCCTCCCACCAACCCCCACATCAAGATACTCCCCCAAGATAACCCAACCAAAGCAAACATGACATCTTACGCGCCAGCCCCACTTCATCCAATACAAACAAGAGATGGCAATCGTGAGGAGCCCGGCCGCCCACCCCATAATCGCCGGTAAGGGCGGAGTACACGCCCGTTCGATATCCTCTGGGCGCCGCGGACCGGGGGCCCCGATTAACGATCGACGCCGCACAATTCGCGGCTGGAACTCAAGTAGCGGCTTCGCAACCCGTCGACACGAGCCGATGGTATCCGGGTCTTGTAATTATCGTGTGTGTCTGCTGAGTAGAGAAGGGGGGGGGGCCAAGCAGAGGGGATTGCCTCCTTTTCCTCAGTCTTTGTCTGGTGTTCTGTTTTTGATCTGGTGTTCTGTTTTTGATCTGGTGTTCTGTTTTGATCTGGTGTTCTGTTTTTGATCTGGTGTTCTGTTTTTGATCTGGTGTTCTGTTTTGTCTGGTGTTCTGTTTTTGATCTGGTGTTCTGTTTTTGATCTGGTGTTCTGTTTTTGATCTGGTGTTCTGTTTTGTCTGGTGTTCTGTTTTTGATCTGGTGTTCTGTTTTTGATCTGGTGTTCTGTTTTTGATCTGGTGTTCTGTTTTTGATCTGGTGTTCTGTTTTTGATCTGGTATTCTGTTTTTGTCTGGTGTTCTGTTTTTGGCTGGTGTTTTGTTTTGTTCTGTTTTGGCTGGTGTTCTTTTGTCTGGTGTTCTGTTTTGTCTGGTGTTCTGTTTTTGTCTGGTGTTCTGTTTTTGTCTGGTGTTCTGTTTTTGTCTGGTGTTCTGTTTTTGTCTGGTGTTCTGTTTTTGTCTGGTGTTCTGTTTTGTCTGGTGTTCTGTTTGTGTCTGGTGTTCTGTTTTTATCTAGTGTTCTGTTTTTGTCTGGTGTTCTGTTTTTGTCCTGTTTTTGTTCTGTTTTTGTGTGTTCTGTTTTTGTTCTGGTGTTCTGTTTTTGTCTGGTGTTCTGTTTTTGTCTGGTGTTCTGTTTTTGTTCTGGTGTTCTGTTTTTGTCTGGTGTTCTGTTTTTGTCTGGTGTTCTGTTTTTGTCTGGTGTTCTGTTTTTGATCTGGTGTTCTGTTTTGTCTGGTGTTCTGCTTTGTTCTCTTTTGTCTGGTGCTCTCTTTTGTCTGGTGCTCTCTTTTGTCTGGTGCTCTCTTTTGTCTGGTGCTCTCTTTTGTCTGGTGTTCTCTGTGATCTGGTGTTCTGTTTGGTCTGGTGTTCTATTTGGTCTGGTGTTCCCTGTACTCTTTCTCTTGAGTTCTCTTAGACGAAAGAACACGATATATCATGTTCTTTCTCTTTCTTACCATCTTGACTTTCTCTTTCTTACGCCCCCCCCCCCCCATCCCCCCTCTCTCCCCCTCTCTCTCTCTCTCTCTCTCTCTCTCTCTTCTCTCTCTCTCTCTCTCTCTCTCTCTCTCTCTCTCTCTCTCTCTCCCTCTCTCTCTCTCTCTCTCTCTCTCTCTCTCTCTCTCTCTCTCTCTCTCTCTCTCTCTCTCTCTCTCTCTCTCTCTCTCTCTCTCTCTCTCTCTCTCTCTCTCTCTCTCTCTCTCTCTCTCTCTCTCTCTCTCTCTCAGGGCGTAACATACGGAATGTTCTTTCTTATAAACATTCAGATGTACAAGAAACAAAAAGGTGTTACTCACAGCCGTGCTGGGCTCAAATGCACTGCAGGTTATCCAATGATTTCACTGATGCAGAACGATATCAGGATGAGGCTGTTTTTTAATGCAATACCAAAAGGGGCTAACTGGCTTTTTTTTTTTAGTCGCTTTAATGGCAGTTGTACTACTATCAAAATAGTCACAAGTTGATGTTAGCAGGAGTGGATGGTTGAATGGTTGCAGAAACAACAGTATTAGTATGGTTGTTGTATGTGAGAGTATGAGAGACATCAGTAACAGCTGGTGGTAGTAGGAATAATTAGTTTTCTTACGCAGCTATTTCTTGGCTGGCAGTGAAAGCTGAAGGAAGTGGAGAGTGAGGAGAGAGCCTTCAGCTTTTTATCCTGATTTCATCTCATCTCGCGCGCGCGTAATTCTTGGGTGGGGGTTGGGAGGGGGGATGGGGTCAAGGTTTTGTGGTCCGTGTGTGTGTGTGTGTGTGTGTGTGTGTGTGTGTGTGTGTGTGTGTGTGTGTGTGTGTGTGTGCTCACCTAATTTTGCTTGCAGAGGGGGGGTTAAGCTTCGAATCTAGGGCCCCTCCTCTCGACTGAGTCGACTGACGAAAAGTTTCCAGAGCCATTTGGCGCCTCTCATGGCTAGAATTGAACTGTGGAGTATACTAAAACATGTCTTGGCATCACCCGTTGTTGTGCCCAACCGCGTCACGTCCTCACCCGTGGTGTGACCCCCCCCCCCACTTTGGTCCCTATCTCACCCACTGTGTCATCCACTTTGTAGTCCTCGTGTGACCTCTCGACCTGGTCCAACTCCTCCCCTATATGCACCCTTTAGTCCGGCTTGCTGCACCCCTTTTGTAGAGCGAGTTGCCGAACATAGTGTAAGGAGTGTAGACAAACTCTCACAGGGTGAGCAAAGGGGTAAAGAGTCAGTCGCTCGCTACCCCTGATGCAAACTCGCCAATAGAGCAGTGTAATACTGCTCTACTGTCTGGGCACCGGACAAATACATCCCCCCTTCTTTAATGGGGGGCAATGTGTCATGCGAGGGGGGGGATGAGGGGTGAGTTGGCTATATATACACTAGCCTATATTGTGAGATATAGCCATCATGTGTCTCTCTCTATCACCCACCAGTGTGTGTACTCACCTCTTTGTACTCGTCTATTTGTGCTTGCAGGATTGAGCATTGACTCTTGGATTCCGCCTTTCGAGGCATCAGTTGTTTACAGCAATGATTCCTGTCCTATTTCCCTATCATATCTAGTTTTAAAATTATGAATAGAATTTGCTTCCACAACCTACTCCTTAAGTGCATTCCATTTTTCCACTACTCTCACGCTAAAAGAAAATTTCCTAACATCTCTGACTCATCTGAGTTTCCAGCTTCCACCCATGTCCCCTCGTTTCGTTACTATTCCGTGTGAACATTTCCTCAATTTCCACTGTCAATCTCCCCTGAGTATTTTATACGTTCCTATCATTCCCCCCCCCCCCTCTCCCTTCTTTTTTCTAGTGTCGTAAGGCTCAGTTTCTTCAGGCGCTCTTCATATCCCATCCCTCGTAACTCTAGGACAAGCCTCGCCGCAAACTTCTAAACCTTTTCCAGTTTCCATGTGTGTTTCTTCAGGTGGGGACTACATGCTGGAGCGACATACTCTCAGACTGGTCTCACGTAGGCAGTGTAAAGTGCCCTAAATGCCCCCTTACTTAGGTTTCTGAATGATGTTCTAACTTTTGCCAGTGTAGAGTACGCTGCTGTCGTTATCCTATTTATATGTGAATCAGGAGATAGATTAGGTGTTATGTCCACCCCCAGGTCTCTTTCGCGCGTCGTCACAGGTAGGCTGTTCCCCTTCATTGTGTACTGTCCCTTTGGTCTCCTATCTCCTAGTCCCATTTCCATAACTTTACATTTGCTTGTGTTGAACTCCAGTGGCCATTTTTCTGACCATCTCTGCAACCTGTTCAAATCCTCTTGGAGGATCCTACAATTCTCATTTATCACAACTCTTCTCATCAACTTTGCGTCATCCTCAATCATCAACATGTACGACTCTACTCCTGCAAACATGTCGTTAACATATACCGATCCTTGAGGTACTCCACTTGTTACTGTTCGCTTGTCCGACTTCTCGCCCCCTTACCTTAACACACTGGCTCCTTCCTGTTAGGTTGTTCCTTATCCATGCTACGGCCTTGTGTGTGTGTGTGTATTTCTGTACTCACCTAATTGTGCTTGCGGGGGTTGAGCTTTGGCTCTTTGGTCCCGCCTCTCAACTGTCAATCAACTGGTGTACAGATTCCCGAGCCTACTGGGCTCTATCATATCTACATTTGAAACTGTGTATGGAGTCAGCCTCCACCACATCACTTACTAGTGCATTCCATTTATTAACCACGTAGCTAAGAGTTCTTGTACCTAAGCGAGAAGGGTCGGCTAGCCTACAAAAGAATGTACACCCTATATCTAGGTCATACGGTACTTTTTAAACAAATCTTACCTGACCTAAACCCGTAATCTATATATTTATATATCCCAACCAAACCTGACGATAACAAAACAGTTGTGTTTTGTTATCGTACATGTAATGACGCATGAGGTGGGACGTCACAATGACGCTGTAGCGATGACTTCGTTACAGGTTTGTAACGAAGATACGTCTGGTGTAGACGTATCCAGCTCTACTCAAAGGGAGGGGGGAAGGGGAAAGGGGGTAAATGGGGGGGGGCTTAATTCTCATTGTCATAGCTGGCTTCGTGTCCTGACGGTCGCAGCCGCATGATTTACCTGTGTCGCAGCCGCATGATTTACCTGTGACGCAGCCGCATGATTTACCTGTGTCGCAGCCGCATGATTTACCTGTGACGCAGCCGCATGATTTACCTGTGTCGCAGCCGCATGATTTACCTGTGACGCAGCCGCATGATTTACCTGTGACGCAGCCGCATGATTTACCTGCGTCGCAGCCGCATGATTTACCTGTGTCGCAGCCGCTTGATTTACCTGTGACGCAGCCGCTTGATTTACCTGTGACGCAGCCGCTTGATTTACCTGTGACGCAGCCGCTTGATTTACCTGTGACGCAGCCGCATGATTTACCTGTGACGCAGCCGCATGATTTACCTGCGTCGGTGGCCAGGAAAGAACGTTTTGTTGCGTTCCACCCAGGCAGAACGCTGCGTTCGCCGTGAACCAGCTGGTTCGTAAAACGCGCCCTCTTCTCCTCGCTCCTCGCTCCCAATTACGCGTCGTAAATCATGCGTGTGGGGGCGTTTATTCAATTCCGCGATCTCCATCATCATTTTCACACCTTATTCATCATTCATGAGCCGTTATTCGTCGCTACGAGATTTGGGGGTGATATTTATACTGGTAAAAATACGCGTTTTAGGGGGAGGTAAATCCCATTACTATTTTTGATCACTATTCCCAATGATTCCCATTACTATTCCCATAAATAATTGATTCCCATTACTATTATTAACATATATAATTTTTTTTACGGTTGCTTCGGGAGATTACGAATGGCAACGTACGTTTTTTTTTTCGTGGCGTTGTGATTTTACGAATCTTACGAACGGACAGTATGCATGGGGGTGTTATAGACTGAGAAAAATATCGTATTTTATATGGTGTTGGGGGAAGGGGGGCTCTGTTAGAGGGGGGGGAGGGGGGGGCTCTGTTAGAGGGGGGGTAGGGGGGGCTCTGTTAGAGCGCATGGCTTATATCAATATAAGTTAAATTATATTGATCTTCCAGCTTGCGCTCAAGACAGAGCCCCCGCATCATTCTTGGTGACTAGAGCCCCCGCATCATTCTTGGTGACTAGAGCCCCCGCATCATTCTTGGTGACTAGAGCCCCCGCATCATTCTTGGTGACTAGAGCCCCCGCATCATTCTTGGTGACTAGAGCCCCCGCATCATTCTTGGTGACTACAATGTTAGACAGGAGGACACTGGAACCCCACGCATATTTCTGGAGGCATTCTTTAGATCTACCTCTCTGTTGGTCTCAACGTCTCTCTCGGCTGGTGCACGCCATCTATTGTAACAGATTTGTTATCATGGCATTTATTGTAACAGATTCGTTATCATGCCTTCCCCCCCCCCTGCTCCCTATCATCTTCCCTTCCCTCTATATCCTCTCCCATACATCCGTCAACCGTCAATCCACCTTAGGTTCTCAGTCAGCTATCACAATTTCTCTCTCTCTCTCCACCTTCTCTTCATCTCTCCCTCCTACACCTCACGTTCATGTCCCCCCCCCCACGTCCCCTGCTTCACTCTCCACTAGAGATAATCAGAGAGTCGTGTCTCTCCCTGCGAAGGTGGACTGGGTTCCCTTTGCTTATTATGCCTTATCGCTCGAAGGATAAGTACACGAAGATACACGAATAGAGCTCTCTCTCCCCCCTCCTTCCTTCTCCTCCCTCTCTCTTCCCCCCTCTCCCTCTCTCTCCCTCTAAACCCTCCCTCCCACCCCCCTCTCCTACTTCTCCTTTCTCTGGAAATGGATCTTGTTCATACAATTACGTAAAAAGGCCATTTCGAAGCTTCAGTTTTCCAGAGGCGGTCAAATGTATTTTGGAGGGTTGACTGGTGGATGAAATGACCGCTTGGTGGATTGATTGGATGGGTGGATGAATGTGATCGACTTCTGTGGAGACACGCAGAGTCGTAATCTGAGTAAATCACTTTGTAATTGTTTTAATGACGACGCCTGTTATTGTCTTAATTAACCAATTACAAATTTGATCGGAGTGTGGCGACCAATGGTAGAACATACAGAAGGAAACAGCAGTGTTCCAAAACTATTACAAACTATATCAAATTACAAACAGTTAATACAAAACGAATACAAACAGTAATACAAGAACTCAAAACGGGAAATTTAGGAATGGTTGTATTGTTGGTCTACTCGTCCATAATCGTCCCGTGGGGATATTTTTGTGTGTTTGTGTGTGATAAAACAGATCTACTCAAAACAAGATCACGGTTCAAACCCAGCATCTCTGAAAGTATTTATGTATTAATGTATGTAGGTTAGATTAGTATTTTCAAGGGAGTACAATCACTTTCTGTGGTTGATTGTTCAACAAATCACTGAACTATATGTTTAACAGATCTCTAACCCTGTCCATGGAGGACCGTAAAATAAATAAATATATATATATATATATATCGGACGGAGGTGGCTATATATATATATATAATATAATGTCGTACCTAGTAGCCAGAACGCACTTCTCAGCCTACGATGCAAGGCCCGATTTGCCTAATAAGCCAAGTTTTCATGAATTAATGTTTTTTCGACTACCTAACCTAACTTTTTCGGCTACCTAACATATATATATATATATATATATATATATATATATATATATATATATATATATATATATATATATATATATATATATGTGTGTATATCACGAAAATAAACACGTGATTAAGAATGTGACAATGTCAGACCACGGAGGAAAAATGAAACAGGAAATTTCCTTAAGTACTTTCGTATATTAAATACATCTTCAGAAGGTCATTTTACAGATCGAGTGATGGGTATAAATAGGCAGGAAGGAGTGGTGAAGTAAGGTGAGGTACAATACTTGGACAACGCAGACGGCCCATTGGCCCATCAGATGCACCCAATTGGCACATCCGATGTAGCCCAATGGCCCATCTGATACAGCAGACATACAAGCATAATATATAGGTAATTATAACATAAAGAAGTAAATATATACAATAAATTAGTGAGACAAATGTTTTTCAATGATTCTACTTAAATCGCCCTTTAGCTGATCTATTAGAAATGGATCTAAGTTATATAGACCACTGCTAATATTCAAATTACTTTCTTTGGTGATCTGTATCAAAGCAGATTCAATTATGTTTCTGTTATAGGTGCTTTTACAATTTGTTATTGAAGAAGCACTCTCCCAATCAATTTGATGAGCTTTTTCTGACAAATGCACAAACAAAGCATTAGACAATTGGCCATGTCTTACAGAGTATTTATGTTGCGATATTCTACATTTTAAATCTTTAGATGTTTGCCCGACATAGAACTTGTTACATTCCTTACAAGGTATTTTATAAATGACGCAATTATCACTACGAGGGCTGTTCCTTACTAATAGCTTACCAACAGTGTTTTCGTAGCTAAACATTACATCTATATTAAAAAGTTTCAAGGCCTTGACAATATTCTCAAACCCAGAGAAATATGGTAAACATAACACATTCTTTGGGCGAATCCTTTCACTGCATACAGTATTATAATACTGTATGTATGCAGTATTATAATACTGCATACAGTATTATAATACTGTATGCAGTGAAAGGATTCGCCCAAAGAATGTGTTATGTTTACCATATTTCTCTGGGTTTGAGAATATTGTCAAGGCCTTGAAACTTTTTAATATAGATGTAATGTTTAGCTACGAAAACACTGTTGGTAAGCTATTAGTAAGGAACAGCCCTCGTAGTGATAATTGCGTCATTTATAAAATACCTTGTAAGGAATGTAACAAGTTCTATGTCGGGCAAACATCTAAAGATTTAAAATGTAGAATATCGCAACATAAATACTCTGTAAGACATGGCCAATTGTCTAATGCTTTGTTTGTGCATTTGTCAGAAAAAGCTCATCAAATTGATTGGGAGAGTGCTTCTTCAATAACAAATTGTAAAAGCACCTATAACAGAAACATAATTGAATCTGCTTTGATACAGATCACCAAAGAAAGTAATTTGAATATTAGCAGTGGTCTATATAACTTAGATCCATTTCTAATAGATCAGCTAAAGGGCGATTTAAGTAGAATCATTGAAAAACATTTGTCTCACTAATTTATTGTATATATTTACTTCTTTATGTTATAATTACCTATATATTATGCTTGTATGTCTGCTGTATCAGATGGGCCATTGGGCTACATCGGATGTGTCAATTGGGTGCATCTGATGGGCCAATGGGCCGTCTGCGTTGTCCAAGTATTGTACCTCACCTTACTTCACCACTCCTTCCTGCCTATTTATACCCATCACTCGATCTGTAAAATGACCTTCTGAAGATATATATATACGAAAGTATATAAATTTCCTGTTTCATACATCATATATATATATATATATATATATATATATATATATATATATATATATATATATATATATATATATATATATATATATATATATATATATATAGTGTGGCCACGTCTGTGATAGGAAAGCAAATTTCACTGAAAGTAAGGAGGAGATTTTCATTACATCATATTGTATCATACTGCATGAAATAGTTACACACATGCAATGAAATGCATTTTTCCTTTGTGTGTATTTTTTGGGGGGGAGTGGTTTTTTCCCACAGTTTATTTAGACATTTATAAAAAAAATCCCCCCTCGTTAAGATGCAGAAAAGGATTTAGTGCAGTAGCAAAAATTAGACAGAATGCCACAGACGGGGGGGGGGTCCTTGTTGATTTCCATATAATAGTGCCTCCCCCCCCTCACACACACCTGTGCCGAACACCTGTATCAAACGCCTGTATCAAACACCTGTGCCGAACACCTGTATCAAACGCCTGTATCAAACACCTGTGCCAAACACGTGTGTCTGTGACGCCTCCTTGGGATACACCAAGGTAAACTCGTCGTAGAATGTAGATCTCGGTGCGCCGCAGCAGGTAGATCCTACGGCGCACTGCCCCCCCCCCCCCCAACCAAAAAAATTGTGGTAAATCCTACGTCCCCCCCACCCAAAAAGAATGTTAGGGGGGGGGGATCCTACGACCCCCCCCCCCTCCCCCTCTCAACAAAAAAACTCTTGTAATTTTAGAAATAAATCCAAATTGAGCCTAATCTTAATTATTTTTTATTTGACTTGATAATAGTTCGAATCTTGGAATGATCTTGTTTAATACTCAAGACTCTTGGAGCGATAGGCAGAGTCCCTCAGTATAAACTGGAAGTCCCCCCCTCCCGGCCCTCGAGTCCTGTCAAAATATATATCCAGTTTGTCAGTCTTGATGGTGAAGACCACCTAAGTCACAATTTAAACCAAATATATATATATATATATATATATATATATATATATATATATATATATATATATATATATATATATAATCAAAACAGTTCTTTAACTTAATCTATTATTCCAAGTTCATAACTCATGTTTTTACAGCCATCAGTGTACTTGTCAGTTGTCAACGAAGTGAAGACCTATAATGGCTTGTTGTATCTGTACCGCTATAACTGAACTATCGCGATGGTCCAGTTCTTTGTCGAATCTAGTGGACGGAGGTGGCTTCCACAACTACTTCTTTAGTGTATTCCACTTGTTGATCACACGAGAATGTAAAGTGTTTCCCCTAGTAATCTGTAACTATTAGTTGTTTCCCCATTTTCTGTAACTTTTAGTTGTTTCCCATTTTCTGTAACAGCTGTTTCCCCATTTTCTGAAACTATTAGTTGTTTCCCCATTTCTGTAACTATTAGTTGTCATTCCATTTTCTATAATTAGTGATGGAGACTCCTTTTCCCTGGATGGTAATACCTCTGACTTAAATAATTTTTCAATGCTGAGTAACCTTTACTGGAGGGAAGAGAAGAGGAGAAAAGAGGCAAGAGGAGAGGAGACAAGGGCGGGGGAAAGAAGGGGGAAGAAAGAGGAAAAGGAGAAAGAGAAAGAAAAAAGGAAAGGAAGAGGCCTATACCTGGCCTGCTGTCGAAGCCTTGATGTCCAGTTTAATTCTGAATCTATTGAGATTAAATATGATGGATTTGAATATTAATTCAAATCCATCATATGTCTACAGTGTTTGGAAATCTTGTATAAGGGTCCTTACGTGGTGTATGGATGATGGGGCCCCATACATGATGTATGATGGCTCCTTCATAGCCTATGATTGTGTATGCTACTTTGTGCATGAATTTAGGGAAAAATGTATAGTATCTAATAGACTAGTCATTAAAGTGCTCGTTTATCCAAAAAGGCTCATTTATTTTAATACTGGACTGCTAAAGAGGAGAACAACTAACCTGTCCTAGGCTTAAAAACAAGGAATATAAAGATATATTTCTTCAACTTATACAGTCCCCCTCCCCCTTATGCTATCCTCCTCCCCCCCCGTCCCCAATTCTAATCCACACTATATCTTATCTAGTGACTATTCCACTATCCATTTTCTCTCGCCCCCCTTCCCCCCTCTCTCACTCCAACCATATCTATCCACTCTTCCACACACTGATGACACCCCACTCCATTCTTTTCTCCCACTTTCCCTTCACCTGTTCGCCTCTTCCATACACCCTTCCCCACTCTCTTCCCTCCCTCCCCCCTCTTCCATCCCCTCCCCCTCTTCCCCCCCTCCCCCTCCCCCTCCCCTTCTTCCCCCCTCCCCCTTTTCTCATCCCCCTCCCCCCCTTTTCTCATCCCCCTCCCCCTCTCCCCCTTTTCTCATCCCCCTCCCCCCCCCTTCTCATCCCCCTCCCCCCCTTTTCTCATCCCCCTCCCCCCCTTTTCTCATCCCCCTCCTCCCCTTTTCTCATCCCCCTCCCCCTCTTCTCTTCCCCTCCCCCCCCCTCGCCGTCATTGCCAGTCAGGTCAGGCGGGGACACTCTCCCAGCCTTGAGGCGCCCAAACGTTTCGACACTACAAGTGAGGACTTGTAGTGTCACTTCTTGATACTCTTGTCATGCTAATTTTAACTCTAGGAAAATATTGGCGTTGCACCACGGGTGAAACAAATGTTTGTGGGCGTCTGAGGATCATCTTAGCTTTTGTTGTCTGTTGCGAAATGGATTGGGTGTGTGTGTGTAATCGGTGATTCGAAGCACCAATGACTGGGAAGCAGTGATTCGTCATTAGTGTCTTAACCAATCCCCATGAAGGGCTATACATAGTCCACGTGTGTTACTCACCTAATTGTGCTTGCTGAGGTTGCGCTTCGGCTGTTTGGTCCCGCTTTTCAACTGCGTGATGAGTCCTGTCGTGTGAATTGGCTTGTACGCGGGTTGCAAGGTCAACTTGAGGGTGATTGGCAAGTGATCTGAAACGTGTACCGACACGAACATTGTGACGTCATACAGACGTCACATTTCGTGCGCGCGCCACACAACCTGACGGCTGAGTGGACAGCGCTCAGGATTCGTAGTCGTAAGGGTTAATACATTTTCAAAGACTTTAGTTCACACACACACAACTGTAAACTGTAAACACGCAAAATACGTCCATACTTATACTCGCATTTGGGTGAGGTGATATGGTACAAAAGGTTTGGGTGAGGTGATTGACACATGATAGAACACGAACCAATGGGTCTAAAAACATATGAATGGAAGTAACTGCAGGAGGCCTATTGGCCCATGATGGTTCCTCTTGATACTTCTATATTGGTTCGGAGTCTTAATTGGCTGTTGATTGCTGGTGTTGACTTTTTGATGTGTAGGGAGGGGTTTAGTGTGGTTCCCCCCCCTGCTCAACCACTTGGACTGGACGGTAGAGCGACGATCTCGCTTCATGCAGGTCGGCGTTCAATTCCCGACCGTCCAAGTGGTTGGACACCACTCCTTCCCTCCCCCGTCTCATCCCAAAATCCTTATCCTGACCCCTTCCCAGTGCTATATAGTCGTAATGACTTGGCGCTTTCCCCCCTGATAGTTCCCTCCCCCCCCCCCACCTCAAGCGTGCAATCGACCCGTAATATATCGACTCCCAAGGGCCCTGAAATCTATGGCTTATTTAGGTCCGAAACCTGTGTATCTGGCCAACACAAAACGTAAAAGACGCAACAATAACATGCTATGATTGTAGCTTTGTATTAAAGCAAAATCAACAATGTTGAAGGTGGTATTGCAAATTGTTTGAGAAAGACCTCTTGCAATCAATTTGGTGAGAATGGACATAGACACAAATGAATAAATAGGCATTAGAGCGGTCATTTCACATAGAATTGCACGGTTTGAAGCCTATGAAATTTACGTGCTATGATGCATTTTTTTTTTGTTTGAGGTATAGGGACGCGGGTAAGAATAGTATGAACATATAATAAACTAAAGGAACAAGTGGTGGAAACCAATTTTTTTATAATTTCAAATGTAGATGAAGTGCAAAACTAGGTCGGGGAATTATATAAAAAAAATCAAAATGCTTATTTTGGTAAGGTACATACATAAGAGATTTTACAAAGAGTGATGGATTTATAGATAGGACTAGTACATACAATGCCTAAAGCCACTATTACGCAAAGCGTTTCGGGCATGGAAAACTTAAATGACTAAAGCTTAATACTAATTGAGCATAAAGAGTAAAATGAAAACATGGAATGAAAACGTAGCTGAAAAAGCAGCACAAATACAATTCTGTCGACAAACAGCGCTCTTTAAAAAAAAAACAGACATTGGATGACAATAGAGGGGTAAGGTAGGTTACAGGGAATTTATTAGGTATAGCTTCGTTTTTATCTTAAACTGGTTGAGAGAGGTACAGTCTTTAACATGGTTGGGAAGGTCATTCCACAATCTGGGTCCCTTGATTTGTAGAGCATTTCTAGTTTGATTAAGTCGTACTCTAGGAATATCAAAACTGTATTTATTTCTGGTGTGGTGCTCATGGGTTCTGTTACAACCTTCTATGGAGCTTTTGAGGTCAGGATTGGCATTACAGTTTAGCGTTTTATATATGTATAATACACATGAGAGAATGTGCAGTGACTTAATGTCTAACATATTCAGATATAGCATTAGACAATCGACGGCTGCTGGAAGAGCGAGACTCAGGAGCTGAAGCTCAACACACACACACACACACACACACACACACACACACACACACACACACACACACACACACACACACACACACACACACACACACACACACACACACACACACACACACACACACACACACACACACGTACGTACGTGCACGCACACGCGCGCTTAGAGAGAACGAGAAAGAACTAGCGAGAAAGTCTTTTAATATACAATGACATCACGTATAATTACGTCCAATGGTGATTGGCACAAGTCCAACTGTCTCTAAACGTTTGAGCAACGCACCAATGACCATGAAGCGTCAAGTGTGACGTACACAAACCCAAAACGTAGGTGTGGCGCCGCTCTGTCCTGTGATTGGCTCGCTGCACGTCATTCAACGAAGGCACGTTTTTGTGATTGGTTGATAGAAATCGCCGCCCGACGAAACCGCTCTGTGATTGGCTGAGGCCAAGTGGTGTGGCGAGGGGGGTTGGGCCCCCCCGTTTGCACCATCCAGGGGGGGGGGTCACATGATGGACCTTGCAACATATGATCCAAGTCGATTGCTGGTGTGACTTCCGGATTGCAACTTATTTTTAAAACCCTGTGATGAAATTTAATAGTATGACGTGACTGTGAGACGGGGACCGTACGTGCGCTGCTGGGAGTCGGTGTACGTGAGCTGGGAGTCGGGTTGCGTGAGCTGGGAGTCGGGTTGCGTGAGCTGGGGGTCGGGTTGCGTGAGCTGGGGGTCGGGTTGCGTGAGCTGGGGGTCGGGTTGCGTGAGCTGGGAGTCGGGTTGCGTGAGCTGGGGGTCGGGTTGCGTGAGCTGGGGGTCGGGTTGCGTGAGCTGGGGGTCGGGTTGCGTGAGCTGGGGGTCGGGTTGCGTGAGCTGGGGGTCGGGTTGCGTGAGCTGGGGGTCGGGTTGCGTGAGCTGGGGGTCGGGTTGCGTGAGCTGGGAGTCGGGTTGCGTGAGCTGGGAGTCGGTGTACGTGCGCTTCTGGGAGTCGGTGTACGTGCGCTTCTGGGAGTCGGTGTACTTACCTATTAGTGACTACGAAGGCGTGAGGTCTAACACTTTAATGCCCCGCCAACTAACCTTTTTTCTACGTAAAACAAACAAAATAATAATAAAAATAATTATCTATTTAAGAAAAAAGAGAAGACATGCAAAAGCAGGATTCCTAGGTATTTCGCGTAAAATCCCTAAAGCCACTAATAAATCCCTAAAGCCACTAATAAATCCCTAAAGCCACTAATAAATCCCTAAAGCCACTAATAAATCCCTAAAGCCACTAATAAATCCCTAAAGCCCCTAATAAATCCCTAAAGCCACTAATAAATCCCTAAAGCCACTAATAAATCCCTAAAGCCACTAATAAATCCCTAAAGCCACTAATAAATCCCTAAAGCCACTAATAAATCCCTAAAGCCACTAATAAATCCCTAAAGCCCCTAATAAATCCCTAAAGCCCCTAATAAATCCCTAAAGCCACTAATAAATCCCTAAAGCCACTAATAAATCCCTAAAGCCATTAATAAATCCCTAAAGCCACTAATAAATCCCTAAAGCCACTAATAAATCCCTAAAGCCAATAATAAATCCCTAAAGCCAATAATAAATCCCTAAAGCCACTTTGTCGATTCTGACTGAAAGTTTGGGATGGAGGAGGCGGCTTCCACAACTTCTCGTAATGCACTTCACTTCTGGCCCAACTCATACAAGGTATAAGACTATTTCCTTACATTTCACAGGATTCATTTATGTGTTTTCATGTTTCACTTGTAAACCTCTTGTCCTACTTTCTCTCACTTTAGAGGCTGTCCATGTACTCTGTTTATTCCTCTGGGTATTTTGTATGTTTTGATCATGTCTGTGTGTTTTTTTCCTGTCCTAGGTTGTGAGTTCCAGTTCCAGACTCGCTGCTCAACCCACTTAGATCTGGCACTAACCTATCTTGAGGTTATCTTGAGATGATTTCGGGGCTTTAGTTCCCCGCGGCCCGGTCCTCGACCAGGCCTCCACCCCCAGGAAGCAGCCCGTACAGCTGACTAACTCCCAGGTACCTACTGCTAGGTAACAGGGGCATTCAGGGTGAAAGAAACTTTTGCCCATTTGTTTCTGCTCGTGCGGGAATCGAACCCGCGCCACAGAATTACGAGTCCTGCGCGCTATCCACCAGGCTACGAGGCCCCCTAGTTGAAAACCTCTCTACTTTTTTTTTAATTTTAGTTTTATGCTTCATAAGGTATGGGGTTCAAGGGCTGTGCTGTATATTCTAGCTTTAGGTGAGGTACCTGGCTTCTTTCTTCTCCATCCAATCACCTAATCTTTCCCTCTTCCTAACTCCCCCACCCCCTCCACCCTCTTCTTTTTTCCTCGCATTAAACATCCCTCCCTCTATCTCTCTTTTTTTTATACATTAATAATTTTCTGTATCTCTGCATTTTATACAGCTACCCCTAGACTATATAAAGGGGAGTACAGTGTGTGTCAAGAACTAGCTACCCCTAGACTATATGAAGGGGAATACAGTGTGTCAAGAACTAGCTACCCTAGACTATATGAAGGGGAGTACAGTGTGTGTCAAGAACTAGCTACCCTAGACTATATGAAAGGGAGTACAGTGTGTGTGTCAAGAACTAGCTACCCTAGACTATATGAAGGGGAGTACAGTGTGTGTCAAGAACTAGCTACCCTAGACTATATGAAGGGGAGTACAGTGTGTGTCAAGAACTAGCTACCCTAGACTATATGAAGGGGAGTACAGTGTGTGTCAAGAACTAGCTACCCTAGACTATATGAAGGGGAATACAGTGTGTGTCAAGAACTAGCTACCCCTAGACTATATGAAGGGGAGTACAGTGTGTGTCAAGAACTAGCTACCCCTAGACTATATGAAGGGGAGTACAGTGTGTGTCAAGAACTAGCTACCCTAGACTATATGAAGGGGAATACAGTGTGTGTCAAGAACTAGCTACCCCTAGACTATATGAAGGGGAATACAGAGTGTGTCAAGAACTAGCTCCACTATACTATATGAAGGGGACTACAGTGTATGTCAAGAACTAGCTCCCCTAGACTATATGAAGGGGAGTACAGTGTGTGTCAAGAACTAGCTACCCCTAGACTATATAAAGGGGAGTACAGTGTGTGTCAAGAACTAGCTACCCTAGACTATATGAAGGGGAGTACAGTGTGTGTCAAGAACTAGCTACCCTAGACTATATGAAGGGGAATACAGTGTGTGTCAAGAACTAGCAACCCTAGACTATATGAAGGGGAGTACAGTGTGTGTCAAGAACTAGCTACCCTAGACTATATGAAAGGGAGTACAGTGTGTGTGTCAAGAACTAGCTACCCTAGACTGTATGAAGGGGAGTACTGTACAGTGTGTGTCAAGAACTAGCTACCCTAGACTATATGAAGGGGAATACAGTGTGTGTCAAGAACTAGCTACCCTAGACTATATGAAGGGGAGTACAGTGTGTGTCAAGAACTAGCTACCCTAGACTATATGAAGGGGAGTACAGTGTGTGTGTCAAGAACTAGCTACCCTAGACTATATGAAGGGGAGTACAGTGTGTGTCAAAAAACTAGCTACGAGATACTAAAAAGTCCCCATCTCGCAGGATGATTAGTCATACAGGGCTGTAATTCTGAATTCACGTTCATTGTGTAGATGGTGGCGTTCACGATGAGTGCAGCATACTCCAAAGGTGGTCTCGTGTAGACAGTGTAGATCTTATTCACCTTCCTGAATGATGATAGTTCTGATTTTTGCTAAATGTAGAGTTAAGCCTACTCCAAGTTTGGTCTCTTGAGTTCCAAAGGAGGTAGTATTCCTTCATTTGTGTACTATCCTCTTGTCTTCCGTCACCTCTTCTTACTCAGTACTTATTCAGTAGCCAACTCTGAAGGTTGTTCACGTTGTCTTCGAGAACCTGACAATCTCCATTTTTCTGGGGTCTTATCGTTAATTTTTTGGCGTCGTTTTGTGGAGCTTGACTCACGAGCCTCGACTCCAGTATATAGTAGTATTAGTAGCAGAAGTAGCAGCAGCAGTAGTAGCAGCAGCAGTAGTAGCAGCAGTAGCAGTAGTAAGCATCCATCAGTCTCAGGAGTCTTGTCTCGTAGGCCAAGCTCCGCAAAATGGGACCCAACTTCTCATTTTTGTACATAAATGAGAAATTTTGTCCCAGCACTGATCCTTGAGGAACTCCTTTCACCCTACGCTAGTAGGGTGAAAGTAGAGTTAAAAAAAATTATCAGGGTAAAATGAGAGAGTTAAAAGGAGAGAGAGTAAGAGCACAGCCACACTGGACTATGCCCTTAAAGAGTTGAGAGTCAACTGATTAGCCTACATCTTATTTTGTACATTATATGGGCCCCCAACGTACAATTTTCAAAGTACTATGAAAAGTAGTGGTTCTCAACCCAAATCAACGTTTTCGATGCGTAAGTAGGTTAGATTAGTTGGGTGACTTGGGCTCGGACATTACTAGTTTGATTAGGACTTAGTGGTCCTAATCTAAGTAGGACTTTGTAAAAGTCCTACTTGGGCAAATCTAGAGACTGGCCAGCACCATGACTCACTGACTCCTGTCTGTTGGGTAATTTTTTACCCATACGATGGGTAACTTTCTTATCCATACTGTCTGTGTGTGAGTGAGGGAGCTTATTAGACAATAAAAGGGGGAGAGAGAAAGCGAAAGAGAGAAATTGATGATTGTGGGAAGTGGAGCGGGTTAAATGACGGCGAAAAAGAAATAGGTATTCACTATGTCTATTAATGTCTAATTGTCCTGGAAAGTAGAACAAAAAATCAGGGCGTTCAAAGTTTCAATTAGCAAAATTTTGAAGAAATTAGGTAAGTATTAACAGTCCGATTCCTGATCAATTTGTATCAAGGTCAGTTTGAAAGCAGTTTCACAGCTGCTGTATTGAGCTCCACTAAGATATTTTCAGTGATATTTGTAACTGCGCAGGAGATCCTGGAGCGTTACACACACACACACACACACACACACACACACACACACACACACACACACACACACACACACACACACACACACACACACACCTGATTTACACTAACAAGGGAACACACACCCGGATGTCTCCGCTCTCTTGCCCGTCTTCTCGTCCTCTCTTGTCCTCTTCTCGTCCTCTCTATCCCTCTTATCGTCTTTCTTGCCCTCTTCTCGTCCTCTCTAACCCCTCTTCTCGTCCAATCTTACCTATCCCCCTACCATCATCCATTTCCTTCCCCTCACATCGTCCTCTCTTGGATTATCTTTCTCTCGCCCTATCTTTTCACTCATCTACCTTTTTTTTTCTCTCTACATCTTTTTCTACCCATTCCACTCTGCCTTCGTGCACTCTACCGTCTTCTTTGCCTTCCCACCCCCCGTCATCTTTGTCAGATTCCCCTTCCCCCCCCCTTTCTTTTGACACCCTTGCTTAGCCCCTAACCGTTCTTCCCTTCTATTCTTTATCCTCTCCTTCCTCCACAGATTTTTCTCATTCCTGTCTCCTCTATTGTATCATTTCCTGCCGTGTGCTGGCATACCCAACCGTGTGGGCTGGCACTCCCAACCGTGTGGGCTGGCACTCCCAACCGTGTGGGCTGGCACTCCCAACCGTGTGGGCTGGCACTCCCAACCGTGTGGGCTGGCACTCCCAACCGTGTGGGCTGGCACTCCCAGCCGTGTGGGCTGGCACTCCCAACCGTGTGGGCTGGCACTCCCAACCGTGTGGGCTGGCACTCCCAACCGTGTGGGCTGGCACTCCCAGCCGTGTGGGCTGGCACTCCCAGCCGTGTGGGCTGGCACTCCCAGCCGTGTGGGCTGGCACTCCCAGCCGTGTGGGCTGGCACTCCCAACCGTGTGGGCTGGCACTCCCAACCGTGTGGGCTGGCACTCCCATCTACCAGGAAGGTCTGTCTGTCATCCAGGAAAATATCCAACGTCTTAACACATTGGATGGATAATGAGAATATCCGCAGGAACCCGATACTGGATATAGAGTAATTGCAAAG